TGTTTAGAATTTGGACCCAGGACCCTAGGATTGGAAGCCAAGCATCTTAACAACCTTGCTAGAGCTCCACTTTTACTTAATTGCACAAATCATCTTTAATCCTAAAAATAAACTGGTGTATTAGTCATTGCATTCTAATCTAAGGCTTAAAATTTGGTGTCTGTAGTAAACTCCTGTAAGAATTTATTTACACAGTGTTGTTTCCAATAAATATCACTTCAATACTTGCTCAACCTCTTGTATTTGAATAATAATTATCCGTACTGTAGGAGGTATATAATATTTGCCTTCTTTAAAGACACATAGCAGTTAAGCTATGTTTAGACACAAACTGAATGTACTGTAACAGACAGTGCTTATGAATTCCACCCAACACCAAACAGTCATAAAACTTGTATAGTTAACTCCAGTTTACTGAATTGCAAGGCATTTCAAATCCTCTATTTATAGCATTGATCCGCAACAGATATTGTCTGGATCAATATAGTGGTACATGACCCAGAGAAAATTGTGCCAAGTTATCAATAATGTAGACAATATGTCATTTAAAGTCTCAATGCACCTTGCTCTGTGATGCCAACTTCCTACTGAAAACGAGAATCCGATCAACTTATGATCACTGAAAGAGAATTACACATGTAGGTCTTGCTAATATATTTGACATACTACCTGTAATTACTATATTTCTCATACTCATGAGTAGTCGTCTGCTATATTTTAAAATGGTAGTTAACACATTTTTTACTATTATTATTCTTGTTTAATATAATGGTTTGATATTAAGTTATGGTTCATTTGTCAATGTTTTGTTGTTGCTTTATTGTATAATAATACACCATCCACTAGGCCTACTGTAGAGCATTTGCTGAGCTGATTTGCAGGGGTCCCAAGTCTCCCGGAAATCGGGACGGCCTCCCATACTCCCGCAAGCAAGCTAGAATCTTCTGGAAATTAACATCTCCGCAATTCATAATTTTTGCACGTTTTCAATGCTTTATCACTTTTCTCACGGAAGTCAGTGCAGATGGCTATCACTATGTGCAGCAAAATAAAATTAAATGTGTTTAAAAAAGATCATTAACCTGATCGGTGGCAGTTTCAAGGGGGAGGAGGAAGCTGACCTGGGCCCCTAAATGTTTCAATATTATTTTTTTTTTAAATAGGGTAGAAAGTCAGAGAAAAGCCAAAATCATGAATTTTCTTACCTCTGCTCAAACCATGGTGGGCCTGAAGTGGTCTAGACCCTCCATGTGTAAAAGTCCCTCCTTGCCCACCACCCCTACCCCACCCTTCGACCCACCACCACAGGTCTTCTGGAAATTACTTCTACAAACTTTGGACCCCAGGATTTGTGAAATAATAATTCCAAATAAAGTAGTATAACATAGTATCCCACATTCTTCCATGGTGTCAATGTTTTATTGTTACTTTATTGTGTAATAATCAGTGTTCTCCCCAGGATGAGGGTTAAGCATCATGGTACCAAATTCAACATAGGGCCTATTGCCTAGGCGTAATTTTTTAAACACAAACATGATCGCATTGTGACTTCGCTGTCAAGAGAAGTACATGTGGTGAGAGGAAAATCCAGATAGATCGTTCTGGGCATGCGCATTGACATGCATGGGCAGTTTTGAAGCAAACAGTTTGTGTGAATCAAGCTAACGCTCGTGTTTTGAAATGAAATTGACATTTCTCGAGGTAAAGATAACGCAAAAATGAACGCAAAAAGATCAAGCATGAACATGGGCTGATAAACCAACATCGTAAGATAGCATTGTTTTGTGTTTAAAAATATTTTCACACTCACTCTTCTTCAAGCTAGGATACAAGGACAGCATTGTTTATTTTGAATTATTTTATTGACGATAGTTTAAAGCGTCACGGAAGACGCATCAAGCATCACGGCCAGCTTGGGAGCGTCACGGTGCACCGTGAGGCTTCAAGGGCCTGGGGAGAACACTGGTAATAATGCACCACCCACTTTGGGACCCCATTGGAAATAAGTGGGTTTCTCCACTTTATGGTTTATCCCAGGTTTCACTTTCTTTCAATTTTTTTATCTCTTTATAACTTTTACATGGTGCTGTTTGAATTGTTGTTTTGTGACTGCTTTTTAATGATTTTATATATTGTATTTTTATGTATTTTAAAGTGGAACCAAATAAATTCAAATCAAATCATATCACTACTGTAGAGCATTTGCTGCTGATTTTTGAAAACATAATTCCAAATAAATATTATGACATAGTATAAGTCCGACATTCATCCATATTGAAATGTAAATAGCATGAGGTTTCCATCCCTGTGATTGGTTGTTAGTAAATTGATATGGCACATGTACAGTATTACCAAACTTCATGACCAATTTCCAACAAGTGGATATTGCTTCACAAGCAGCCAGACAACAGTTAAGTCCACATCCTTGCTGAAGCAAAGTATAACATTCTGAGCTTTCAGTGTTATAGTCAATGCTTACTCTACCTATGACCACTTGAACAATTTGAAGTGGTAAATCTATTATTTTGAAGTTCATATTTATCCAGATCATGCACATGCACAGTGTTTAATTTCTAAAGCTAAATCATGTAGTTGGCTCTAAATAGATTGATTACAGTATATTAAATGAACATGACAAATTTATAAAAATAATAGTTCAACATTTTATGATAACTATATGCCAAGCTTAGATTCATCCTGATGGAAATATAAACACGATAACATGTCAATTCAGTGATTGGCTTTGATGTTAGTACTGACAAGTTAATTTTTCTAGACACTAAAAACATTCATTCTTTTAAAATGCTGTCATTCTTTAAGCCCTCGGTGTTGTGATTAGGTCTGATGTGCATTCATTAATTTTAATGAATATTTTTAATATATCTATGATCAGATTATTAGGTTTTTCTGAATATTTATCAAGACATTGACTGGTTGAATCAGGAAAGATGATGTGATTACCATGTGACATGAGGACCAGCCATTCATTCATTATGGTTTATTCATAAAACATTGACACTGAATTGCGTCAAGTTACAAAAACTGTTTAACATAAAATATCATAACACATTGATATACTGTACTGTACAAAAGTCACACAATGGACAAAGTACCAGAAAAAGAGAACGGTAAAAACCGCACATTAAATAAAATGAATCGCATAATAAAAATTTTAATTTTAGAGATCACAGAGATCTCTAAAAAAGTATTTGATACTGTCCTCCTTCGCAATACAATGTACTATATTTGAACTTTTTGGGATATTTTACCACTTACCAATCAATATGTCCTTGTCAGTTTATTATTATATATATTATACCCATTGTTAATTCTCCATGGCCATATTCATAATGATTAATTATCGGCTTTAAATTGTTGCAGCTGTGTGTTAATGTACTTTGTAAAGGATACAAATTCAGTCTTTGTATACAAGTAGTTTTGTCTTTATTATTGTAATTCAAATGCACTGACTTATTGTATTTATTATTCAAATGCACTGACTTATTGTATTTATTATTCAAATGCACTGACTTATTGTATTTATTATTCGGCCAAATGAAAAAAAATTACTAGTTTCTCGTCCCCTCGCGCATCCATTTTCTCTGCCTCACCAATTTTTTTTTTTTTTTTTAATTTATTTTACTAAATATACTGTATGAAAATCTAGCTCACATCAGTAGAATTCCTCTCTTCATCTTTTATGGTTTGGGATACTTATATGTATGAATCATGTCTAGTGCTTTTATTTGCAAATTCAGTGTGTCTACTTGGTACGTTTCCCATCGACCATCTTTGATTTGCCACCTCGAAGTAAAGAAAAAAGTGCCCTCATCCTATTTTTTTTTTAACTTGGCCTTATTATTATATTTGATTACATTTTTTTTATCACAGTCAATACAATCTTTTTGTTAATTTTTTTTTTGATGCATAATTCTAATTTGATTTCCAAGTTATAGATAGACAAATGGGTCATTCCGTGCCAACTCAACAAATTTTCAGAAAATCATGGCTGGGTACCGTCTCAGATTTTCTTGAAACTCGGATATAATGTGCACCAACATGTCTGACGAACAAACCCAAAATTTGACTTGCCAATTCCTGTCTCTTATACACATCTAGATGTGTATAAGAGACAGGTATATATATATTAATATATATGTATGTATATATATATAAATATATATATATGTATATATATGAATATATATATATACGTATATGTGTATATATATACGTATATATATACATATATGTATATATATACATACATTATTGTATTTATTATTCAAATGCCCTGACTTATTGTATTTATTATTCGGCCAAATGAAAAAAAATTACTAGTTTCTCGTCCCCTCGCGCATTTTCTCTGCCTCACCAATTTTTTTAAATTTTTTTTTTATTTATTTTACTAAATATACTGTATGAATATCCAGCTCACATCAGTAGAATTCCTCTCTCCATCTTTTATGGTTTGGGATACTTATATGTATGAATCATGTCTAGTGCTTTTATTTGCAAATTCAGTGTGTCTACTTGGTAAAAAATTGAGAAAGTAGTAGCCATTTCCCATCGACCATCTTTGATTTGCCACCTCGAAGTAAAGAAAAAAGTGCCCTCATCCCTATTTTTTTTTTAACTTGGCCTTATTATTATATTTGATTACATTTTTTTTATCACAGTCAATACAATCTTTTTGTTAAATTTTTTTATGATGCATAATTCTAATTTGATTTCCAAGTTATAGATAGACAAATAATCATTTCTACTGGGCTTACTTTTTGACAGTATTTCACGTCAAACTTAGGACACATGAGCCCGACTGGGTTTTTTTGTGACTAAATTTTGTTGGCCACTAATACTGGTTGAACCTTATGATAAGCTGTTGTAAAATTATTGAGAAATAAATGTTGTTTTATTACGTAAAAACATATTAAATCTACTCCATTTTATATCATATACTATTACATTAATATTGTATTCTATTTATATTATATTTACAGGATATGGAAGATCCTGGACCAGTAGTAGACCAAGGTAACCAACAAACTCGTCTTTGTCAGAGTGACTTGGAAGGAGAAATTGCAGGTAAAGTTTTTGCAAACAATTTTTTCAATTGCCTTAAATGTTCCAATGAGTCCTACGGCCCTTATAGTATTTTTTGGAGGCTTTACTGCAGCGATTATCCAGCCCACAAATTTCACGTCGGCAATCAGCAATTGTCGACCATATTGCCGAGCCAGAATTGCTACAGGACGGCAATTTTTTGCCGACCTAGGCCTAAATTTCTTTGCTTCAAAAACTGCTTGGAAAGTCAAAAACTTTGACTGAAACAGGCTATAGCAGACACTAAATTTCATGTACGTCGTCAAACCAAGGAAATTTGTGGTTAATAAAACAGATTTGTTTGCACAATAACTATTTCTAATAGGCATGCAGTACGTATGGTTTGTGTACAATCGTCTTGTCTTTCTCGCCTAGTCGTTTCTTAGGCTAGGCCTAGGTAGGAATGACGCTAGTCAGCCAAGGCCTATAACATCGGCCAATTGAAGCCGCGTGGGCCGCGTAGATCGTAAGGCTTATCTAAACATATTATTTGTCTTCATTTTACAGTATTATTATCATATTTAAAATGTTGTTTATTATCTTAAAACAACAGAATTCAACATGCTGTAGGCCTAATTCTACCATTCGTTTAAACGCAATTCATGATCGCATCGTTAATTCACTACTGACAAGTACTGTACATGTGTGGAAAATCCCTGATAGATCATTCTGGGCATGCGCAAAGACATGCGTGGGCAGTTTTGAAGCAGCCTGCAATGATGATCTTAGCTTTTACGAAAGTGATATTTCCCATGCCAAAGATAATGATAAAACGAATGCTAAAACAAAATTTATTCGGCGATTTTCTTATGTAAAACATATGTATTATACTACACTATTAAATTAATACAAGTACGACCAATCTTTCACCGGCAATATATTGATTTAATAGAGAAATTAACAAAATCACAATCTGTAGATGACGATGTAAGGTCTAGCGTTCGGAAAAATCGTAATTTATACTATGATAGGCCTACAGTAGGTAGTAAAAAATCGCCGAGGGTGCCGACCTCGGAGAATTGAGGGTCGACAAATTTTTTGGATTATCTGAGGCGGTGTTTAATTATATAAATTTGAACCATCAAATTTTACATTCACCAATAAAATTTTATTTTTATTTTCTCCTCCGTCTGAATGTTTTTGCAAAATTATTTGCTAAATCAGAAAACAAATTAAAAACAAGGAATAGAAAAAATCTTGTCTAATGCAAAAAAATGTAATTCAACCAAAATACAAATTTCATTCTACTGTACATCCAACATAGCAAAAGTTCATAATGCTATAATTAAACTAAAGTGTTTTATACCTAATTGCTACCTGTTAGTTAAGTCTACTATCCCAAGTGTGTAAATAAATTACATTTTTTTATTATTGTATCAAATATGTTCATTTAAATATGCTGCATATTTGGTTTAAAATTCCGTAGTTAGATTTTGAATCATCATTTTAAACATAGTTGTTCCTGTGAATAACCTATTACCTACTAAAAGCAATGATATTAAATTTGTTTGCTACCCACTTTATCAGCTCACTGAACAGGATTCGGTCTGATAAATCTCAGATAAGTTTGAGATAATAGGACATGCTTCATCATTAAGTCTATTATAGTTGATTTATCTGCAAATACTAATGTACTTGTGATCTAGGAGACCGATTAGATTTCAAAAATAGAATTTAAAGTTAATTTTATAGATTCCAAGAATTTAAGTAAAATTTGTAATTTTCCATTATTCTAAATTTAACATTATTCATATCCTGTGGTGAATTATGTAAAAGCCTTTCAATATGCAGTTAAAACAATCATCAAAACTGCATGGACTATAGGGCATGAACTCCAAAATATGAAAATTGTTCATTTCTATTATATATCTGTACCATCAACTAATCATCATCTTATTATCTACAGTACCATCATGTGAAGCTAAGTCAATATTGGATGTTTCTTGATGTGCATGTGATTAGTATTACATATCAACTTGACCCGCACTAATTAACATTACATCATGACTAGGCAGATCTTCATGAATAATTATGTTTGAATCATTATTATTTTATGTACGCGTTACTTCTTGTGAAAGTTGGGTTAATGGCTTATTAAAACCTTTTTACTTTCTTTTTCTTTGAATAAAAAGTTTTTTTTTCTGTTTCACTTTAGGACATCGTGCTGTGTTTGTCGGTGTTCATGTACCCCTAAAGACAAAAAACAGACATAAACATAAACATCGGAATAAAAAGAAGAGAGGAAATGGGGAGGACCATGAAGATGGAAATGGGATCACAATCCAGATAGGTGGAGGGACTCCACCAACACAACACAGAGCAGGTAAACTTATATTGAAATTATTATATTAATATAAAAAACAGTGGAGGGGTGGGGGAATGACATCACAACATACATGGGAACAACGACTGTGCAAGTGGAGCAATGGACAAAAAAAGATGGAAAATACTGCAGGAGGGCTTCACACATTAGTGGGTGGCTATTTCATTTAGCTGCTCACACTGTGAAAAGGTTGTTATAGCACACTGTCTTTTAGAAAAGATGTTTTAAGCTATTGGTCTTGTGTAGCCCTCAAAATTGGGACAAAATTACCTCAGCATAAAAATTGCTGAGGTGAATTTCACATGCAAGTTATCGGCAGTTTTTCTATTTTCAGTTTCAACCAGTAATAATCATACGTGACAACATACTTATATTAGGCCTATGCCAAAACATGGAGCTTCCCTAATATATGTAGCAGCAGTCATATATTAGGCCTGTATTTTTGTACGATTGCTCAATCATCACCAAGTAAATAAAATTTTGATTTTTCTGGAAATACACTTAAAAACATCTAAACAACACTGTTCATCGGTCTTGCTCAACTAGAATGGTTATGAAATATTTAACTAACAATTTATGTATAACTTGTTACATGAAAACATTTATATTCCTGGATAGAGGAAGACAAACCCCACAACACATGTGAAATTAACTTGGGAAGTAAACCCTAATTTTAAGATTGGAAACCCAATTACCTTCTGCCAACACAGTTATCTCTCCCAATGTCCATTGTTCATGTAGCTTTATTCTAAAATAATTATGGATTCAAATTTAAATTGAATTGATACTAATCAGTGGGAGATTACCGTGTGGGCAGCCAATCTAGTTGACCAATGATTAAAATTAAATTTAAAAGGTCAGTCTAATTCTTGGTATTTCTCAATCTGAAAATAGAATATTGATGAAGTATAAAATACTACTAGAGATGGCTTTCAAGGAAATGTTATCAAATAAATTATCAAAGGTCTAATATTTAAAGAGGCTTGAACATTGATCATGTTGGTAGATGATGATCCAACTACGGTGTCATGTAGTAAAGTGCTTTAGTATCAGCAGAGAGTTGTTATAGTTAGAACTCCCTGGTATCAGTGGTATCAATAAGTGTCAATAGCCTGGTTCACGTCGAACTTTTATCTAGATATACATCCACTTAACTAGTTAAAAGTTCGACGTGAACCACTCAATTATAGCTACTGTAGATAAAGGAATTCTTAACTTGACTAGAATAACGGTAAATTAACTGGCTCGGATTACAAGGACACGATTACGTAACGTAGGCATCTACTGTAAGCCAGCGTTGTATTGTACCACCATTATCATCTTCTGGCTGGCAACAACGTACTTCAACAATGCTAACAACAGCATCGAAGTAGTCTCATTAGTCTGGTTTTCAGAAATTATTTGTAGTATTATCCGTAAAAACCCAGCAACCGTCCGTTTTATATGAATAGTCGATATTACCAATGACCTTTGCCCTTTGCATCATCGACCAAGTAATATAGTTAAAAAGTCCGATTGCGTACGTTTTTCAAAATGATAATGTATATTTTTCTTAATAATAAAATCGGATTTGTTGTATTTATTTATTGACAATTCAATCTTTTCCATTTCTGCTATAATAGTCGCTATTAAATCAACTTCAACGAACTACCACCAACGCCAGTCGTTAAAATGAGTATGTGTGAGTCAGCAACTTATTTGACACCGCGAAGCTAGATTTTCACGAAGTGCATGTAAACAACACAATTGAGCAATCTAAAAACTACAAAACAGGACAGAAAGATCTATAAAGTATACATACCTTTTAATGAAAATTAAAACAATATTTTGTTAAATGGAAGAATGCTAGCTAGCGATTAAAATAATTTGTGTTTTATCGAAGGTATACGAATACCTCTTGGTTCGTAAAATACAGTAGATGTTTTATTAAACAAGCCTTTCTACCGTGTGACGTCGACGGCCTGAAACTGGCTGGCTGTTTATCTGGCTCTAACTTGGCATCGAACGCAATTAGGGGATTATCGTATTATGTTTCAAGACGGGTATATCTAGATAAAGTTTGACGTGAACCAGGCTTATAAGTACCTTTGTCACAGGGATGGAAACTATGATAGTGATCCTATCTTTGCTCTGGCACAGTCCTTGGGGCAATGACAGGTGCACAGGTTGTACAGTACCAGATAGAGGTTATATATTCTTAGTATACAGTTACAGTAGAATACCCGAAGTTGTCACTTAAGGTATTGTTGCCTTTTCATCCACCCTTCAAACTGACATTTCCACCCTAATGATCATTATAAAGTAATTAATTTTTGAAATGAAAACTATTTTAGATTTTAAGTTTTATAATGTATAGACAGTTTTCTTGAATTTACAAATATGTTTTAGGCGATAAAGAGTGAGGAATGTTGGAATTGGTACTGTTTTACATGTATTTTAGTTTTGCCTTAATTTAAACAGGTTGTTGAAATCATGTACTCGCTACAGTATGTCTTTGCCAAAGCACTAGGAATGGATACTGTGACGTGACACTGACCTGTTTGATATTAGGTCAGAGATTCTTACCTATATTATATATAATAATAATTAATAAAACAGCACTTATAATGCACCATCTAGTGTACTATTCTAAGGCTCAGTGACTTGATAAAAATAAAGAGTATTTATTTATTTATTATATTGATTTATTGGAAAAGCAAACAGTGAGGTTTAATTAAGGACTTTTACCTGTTACAAGGATAGGAAGCTGGCTGGTTTAAGCCGTCTAACTTGAATTAGCCTTACAGTATGTGTGGTATTGTTATGCTAATGAGCCAGATAAGCACAATCTGCACATGCTCAGAAAACAAAACTTTCCTTAGCCACACTGCGTATCGGCTAGGCGTACCGGCCTAGCCAAGAATTACGGTACAGTGAAACAAAGCAAAATAAGAGTACTAATTTTCCGTTCCTTTCCGTGGTTTATTTCTATTGGTTCCTTTCTTCCTTTCCTAATGTACATTGTCAATGTCAGTATATTTCTCTAAAGTCTTATATATGTTCAACAATTTCTTAAAGAGTGTGGATCTGACAGGTTTTCCTTTAATTAAAGACTTATTGGGACTTGGGTTTACATGGTCTTTAGCATCTTTAGTCTTTAAATAGAATAGTAAGGTAAAGACATTGTTTAAATGGGACCACATACTGTACTGTAAAAGGGTGTTCTTTAATTGGTGGTTGTCTTTAATTAGTGGGATATTTGTATAATACATAGTTTCCATTCCAAATATACCATGATTACAGTAGTTTCTCATTAAAGTGACTGTAATTCTTTAAATTTATGGTATAATAATATGTTTGTGTAGCTTTATAAGATGTCATGCACACCGTATCTAGTCAAATAATGCTTAACGGTTAATTCAAGATTCAAGATTCAAGAAATTTTATTTGTCCATAAAAATATGGAAAATTGTATTGCTTGGCAGATGACAAAAATATAAAATGTATAATATAGTGCCAACAAGAAGGTCCGTAAAGAGACATACAATCAACAATGAATTAATAAAAAGGAAAAACTGTTAAAAATTTAAAACCTCGTAAAATGTCTTAAAACAGTATACTGTACGTTTATAGTACATGTGTTATCGGAAATAACACTACCTACCTGGATCTACCTGAATCTACCTGAATGTAGAGATGTGAAGCTTTTTTATAGCTTATGTGTCCCTCTTGACTCTTCTTTTGGTGCGTATGGATTGAACTTGAGCGGATGGTTTGACCAGTGTTTTTGTAGACTGTTTTTAAATTGGTTGATTGTAAGAGAATCCACAATCGAGTTTGGTAAAGCGTTCCAAGAATTGATTGTTCTAAACGAAAATGCATTTTGTCGAGACTTAGATTTCTCATGAACTTTCTGAATTTTCCATTGGTGACCTCTAGTAGATGTGCATTCATTTCTTTTTAAAAAATCGCTAAATTGAACCTTATCACACCCTCGGATAATTTTAAATATTTGCAGCATACAGTATCTGCTCTTTTCCTTCTGTATGTTAAGGTTGGTAGATTCAGATGTCTTAGTCTCTCATTGTATTGAAGATGACAAATTTGAGGAAGAAGCCTTGTGGCCCTTTGCTGAACTTTTTCCAGCATTCTGATCCCACTCTACTGTAGGCCCTGCACAAATTTGTTTTTATCAGACATTTTTACCTTCTTAAATACCTAGATTGTGGATTTTATTCCAACACAACTTCCATAGATACTTGTTTATTATATTGATCATTCAATAAAACAATCAAGCACTATGTTGAATTTTAAAGCTGAAAACGATGTTTGAAAGAGAAGTAAAATTTGTCGCATGCACATGTGTGAAGCCATAAAAAACACTGACTTTGAAGAGGCCCGTTAGAAGGCCTCCTTCACTTGAGAATTACATAGTACTGTATAGTATGGTGTGTTGTGTTGTATGCATGGTAATAACAGGCACAATTCGAGCGGGTTTTTTTTTTTTTTCTTAATCTTTCGCTTCAATTTTTATGACGTCATCACCTTTATATTACGTTCGTAAAATCGGGAATTCGTAAAATCGGGAATTCGTAAAATCGGGGTTCGTAAATGAGGGGTTCTACTGTACTGTAAAAGGGTGTTCTTTAATTGGTGGATGTCTTTAATTAGTGGGATATTTGTATTATACATAGTTTCCATTCCAAATATACCATGATTACAGTAGTTGTAGTCTCTCATTAAAGTGACTGTAATTCTTTAAATTTATGGTATAATAATATGTTTGTGTAGCTTTATAAGATGTCATGCACACCGTATCTAGTCAAATAATGCCTTCTTGACAACAATGTTCTTCTAATTTGCAACGAATAATCCCTCTAATTGCCAACTTAACAAATGTAAAATGGCTGTTTTTATTGACGGTTAATTCAAGATTCAAGATTCAAGAAATTTTATTTGTCCATAAAAATATGGAAAATTGTATTGCTTGGCAGACGACAAAAATATAAAATGTATAATATAGTGCCAACAAGAAGGTCCGTAAAGACAATCGACAATGAATTAATAAAAAGGAAAAACTGTTAAAAAGTTAAAACCTCATAAAATGTCTTAAAACAGTATACTGTACGTTTATAGTACGTGTTATCGGAAATAACACTACCTACCTGGATCTACCTGGATGTAGAGACGTGAAGCTTTTTTATAGCTTATGTGTCCCTCTTGACTCTTCTTTTGGTGCGTATGGATTGAACTTGAGCGGATGGTTTGACCAGTGTTTTTGTAGACTGTTTTTAAATTGGTTGATTGTAAGAGAATCCACAATCGAGTTTGGTAAAGCGTTCCAAGAATTGATTGTTCTAAACGAAAATGCATTTTGTCGAGACTTAGATTTCTCATGAACTTTCTGAATTTTCCATTGGTGACCTCTAGTAGATGTGCATTCATTTCTTTTTAAAAAATCGCTAAATTGAACCTTATCACACCCTCGGATAATTTTAAATATTTGCAGCATACAGTATCTGCTCTTTTCCTTCTGTATGTTAAGGTTGGTAGATTCAGATGTCTTAGTCTCTCATTGTATTGAAGATGACAAATTTGAGGAAGAAGCCTTGTGGCCCTTTGCTGAACTTTTTCCAGAGCATCTTCATCTTTTTTGAAGCAGGGACTCCAAATTATATTGCAATACTCTAAGGATGGTCTGACTATACTTTTGTATAATTAAAGCAAACTATTCTGGTCCAAGGATGTGAATGTTTATTAATTATACCCAGTTTTGAATTTGCTTTTTTTGCAATATCTGCAATGTGATCCGAAAATTTTAGCGACATGTCGAATAACACACCCAAGTCATTTTCTGCATTTACCGCCTTGAGTTCCATTTTATTTGTGGTGTTTCCCATGGTGTACTTAAAAAATTTATTATGTTTTCCATAATGTATTATTTTACATTTCTCTTTGTTAAAAGGCATTTGCCATTTCACTGACCATTTCCAAACTTCATCTAGATCATTCAGTAGAAGGTTTGCCTCGTGTGCATTATTTACGACTGAAAAAATTTTAGTATCGTAAGCAAAGAGTTTAGTGCTGCACCTTAATGACTCCGGCAAGTCATTTATATGAATGATAAAAAGGATCGGACCTAAAACACTGCCTTGTGGTATTCCACTAGTTACAGGTTTACTCGTTGAGTGAACTCCATTTACACAAACTCTTTGAGAACGACCAATGAGAAAACATCTTATCCATTTCAGTAAACTTCCATCAATTCCATAAGATTTTAATTTTTCCAGAAGCCTAAGATGTGGGATGCTGTCAAATGCTTTTCGATAATCTAGATTCACACAATCAATGCTGTTTCCCTCATCTAATGCTTTCGACCATATTTCCATAACTCCTAGCAATTGAGTTTGACAAGATCGCCCTTTACGAAAGCCATGCTGGTCATCATTTATTATTTTCTAAATGCAGCATTATCCGATTTCAGATGATGGTCTCCATGATTTTTCCTACAACAGATGTTAAACTAACTGGACGGTAGTTTGCTGGATCTTTTTTTATCCCTTTTTTATAGATTGGGATTACATCCGCCTGCTTCCATGACCGTGGAAGTATTCCTTCTGCTAATAATTTTGAAAAAATTTGTTGCAGGGGTTTAGATATCTCTTCGTTACATTCTTTTAAAACTCTTGAGTGGATGCCATCTGGCGATTTATCGATGTTTAAATTTGATAATTCTTTTTCCACTTCATATATATCAAAAACAACGCTGTCTAAAGTCTGTGCAATAGCCCGAGGGGTCAAAGCTGGTATAGAGGATGTGTCCTCCTTAGTAAAACACTAGCAAAATACTCAGTTAAGAATTCAGCCTTTTTTCTATCTGTAGTAACTAATTTTCCATTTGCATCTTGCAGGTCTGGTATACCACTTAATTTTTGTTCGGCTCTTTACGTAATTCCAAACACTAGCTGAAAAATAATTTAAACTAAGAAGCATGCTTAGGCACTGACTCCAATTGTTTGGTTTACTCTTTAACATTTACATAACATTATTAAAACACCAAGTAATTTTGCATTTTGTGTATGTGCGGATGTCACTCAAGAATGTCTAATCCAAGTGTGAACCAAGAGTAATCCATTAATAGTACGACAAATCCAATGAGTAAATTTGATATCTGAAATGGATGTGTTCTTGATCAATATGACCCCAAATATGTTCAACTTAGTGTGTGGACAGTATGCTTAATCCAAGTATAATCCAAAGACAATCCGCAACTAATCTAATTATTTATAGTAGATTTTTTATCGGAAATAAAATCTAGTTGAACTAAGCACGCTTAGGTGTTGACGCCATCCAAGGAGCTCATTTTTGTTACCACCATTTTATTCTAACCTTAAAAAAATCTCTTTAAAGTCTTGTTATTTTGTTGAAAACAGTTAACAGTTGAAGTATTGTATGTTAAATCAAGTGTAGGAAATCAAAGATAAAGATTGTTTATGTTACTTATGTGAGTTAGCTTTAGCTATCGTTTATGTCCTATTGTTTAACTGAAATTAACAAGAGGTGACTGGGACAAAGATTGTACATTATGGAATGCTACTATATTTTACTAGGGTTCAATTCAACTCAGTGTTCTCCCGAAGCCGTCTTGGCCGTCAATTTTACCGGTAAAAATAACCAACCAACCAGTAAAAATTTTGAGTTTGTAAAATAAAAAAAAACTATTGATTAGGCTTAGGTAGTCCAGGCTGGCCCTCTTAATAAATTAACATCATTCCAGTCTATATCTACACTATGAATATGTGTTGTGATATCTGAAATGGATGTGTTCTTGATCAATATGACCCCAAATATGTTCAACTTAGTGTGTGGACAGTATGCTTAATCCAAGTATAATCCAAAGACAATCCGCAACTAATCTAATTATTTATAGTAGATTTTTTATCGGAAATAAAATCTAGTTGAACTAAGCACGCTTAGGTGTTGACGCCATCCAAGAAGCTCATTTTTGTTACCACCATTTTATTCTAACCTTAAAAAAATCTCTTTAAAGTTTTGTTATTTTGTTGAAAACAGTTAACATTCACAAGTTGAAGTATTGTATGTTAAATCAAGTGTAGGAAATCAAAGATAAAGATTGTTTATGTTACTTATGTGAGTTAGCTTTAGCTATGGTTTATGTCCTATTGTTTAACTGAAATTAACAAGAGGTGACTGGGACAAAGATTGTACATTATGGAATGCTACTATATTTTACTAGGGTTCAATTCAACTCAGTGTTCTCCCGAAGCCGTCTTAGCCGTCAATTTTACCGGTAAAAATAACCAACCAACCAGTAAAAATTTTGAGTTTGTAAAATTAAAAAAAACTATTGATTAAGCTTAGGTAGTCCAGGCTGGCCCTCTTAATAAATTAACATCATTCCAGTCTATATCTACACTATGAATATGTGTTGTTGTGTCTTCAAGTCATTTAACCCAACTAAAAAGGGGTAACGTACCTTTTTATGGACAAATTTACCAGTAAAAATTTTTCAGTTGGGAGGACACTGCAACTATAGTATATATGGTAGAAAACAGGATGAATCCAAGTTTATACTCAGAGATTTTATATCAAGTCTTCATCAAGTACAAATAGTGAATGCTATATGAATTATCTTTTGTTTTATTTGCATCCAACAGCATGTAAATAGGCAATTGCATTTAATGAATGATGCTGTGGGGAGGCTTAGGGAATAGAGTTATTTTTAGTTGTAAGAAAAAGTCCTGCTTTCACAGGAATTGAACACAAGACCTTGATATTAGTACAGTAGAACCCCTCATTTATGTACGGAACGGGCCCAGAGGCGTTTGTAAAAATCATTCGTATGTAAAATCGGGGTTGTGTGAAATTCCTATGTATTTATACTACCGATATGCTAGGCTGGGCAAGGGTAGGCCTGTACTGACATTTTGTTGGATTGCAGCCAAAACTCCAACTTGCGCTCGAAAGAAATTCAAAATAAAGATCATGCATACTGTACTTGTTAATGTGTATACAAACTTTATTCTCTCTTTCTCAGGCAATAATATATGACTTATCTTCTAGCTTACGAAGAAACACAGCTCCGCGGGCGCTGCAACAGGTAACGCAACAATGATTTTCACTCGATCCATGTGCTTGTGGCGTCAAGTAAATACCTGTACAGAAAAACCCGGAAACCCGGGGTTCACAACTTTTTGAAAGAAGAGTGCTGATTGGCTGTAGACACGCCGCTTGGACTTTTATTTTAATGCAATACGATTGTTCTACGCCTACGTTAACATTTATGTAAATGATTATTATGGTTAAAAAGAAATTGTGGGTGTCAGTGTCTTATTTTATGGGGGAAATAATGAAATGGTAGATTAACGTTAGTTAGATTTGATAAATAAAATCCATTCATAATTAGGGGGTTCATTAAATTACGATATGAGGGTGGTGTATTCAGAGATGAATAAATCATGCGCCTATCGATATGCCGACAACTTACGCATTGGGCGGATTTTTCTCACGGCTGCAGACAGGAAGTATGATTGCCGTGTGTCGGTGTATTCAAAGCGCACTATCTGCGTTTTGTATTGTAGTAGAGATTGCTAATAGTGTACAGCAAACTGTCTAAGACCGAGTGAATAAACTCCAGCACACGTCAAGCGATTAATTCTTGACATGCGTGTGTTTTGTACATTGAATAGGAACTTTATTTATGACAACAATGACATGATTTTACATTCGTAAAATCAGGAATTCGTAAAATCGGGGTGCGTAAATGAGGGGTTCTACTGTATATCAATGTGATATTACATCACGATGTCCATATATGGATGTGATATGACTTTATCATGTCCATATATAGATATGATATGACATGTCCATATATGGGTGTGATAAATAATAATAAGAATAAGTAAGATCTGTATAGCGCTCGTATCCATTTTTTAAAGAAATGTTTAAAGGCGCATTGCGAAAATAAACAGTGGAAAAAGAAAAATAAGCCAGTAAATATCTTACAAACCAACAAGAAGCAGAGGAACCAGCATTACTGCTGGTTCATGACTCATAATGATATGATATCATCATGATATCATGTCCATATATGGGTATGATATGACATTATCATGGGGAAAATCTATGTTATAGTGTGGATAGAGCTCTCAAAGAATGGTTGCTGTGGGAATTGAACCAGTGATCTTCAGAGTACTCTTGAGTCGATAAACCACCGTGGTTGACAATGGTAGTTCCTAGCAGCAAATCTAGCTATCTTTGCTTAGAAGACTCAGATAGATTCTTGTATCATGTCCAATCAAAAAAGGAAAACTATACTGTAATGTAGACCTGAATTAATTTATGTCAACTCATGATAGATCCGCTTTATAAGAATGGATGACTTTAAAAATGTCAATCCTGTGACAATTTTTGCAAGTCATTAAATTAGTCAATCATCAATAAAGAATTCTTTTATAAAATACAAATGAAAAGCGTAGAAATATTGCAGAGTAATGTAAAGACATAAAAGCCTCACTTGCACTACTAAACATTTCTGTGGTAAACTATGGAAATACACAATGTTAAAAGACAAATCTAAAATTGACCCATTTCATTTTCAAGTTGAAGGATTTCTAAAAACATTGCAATCAAAACTTTTTGGCGATTGCAAACACAATCCTTGTAATATTATGGAAGTTTTACTGGCTTCAGGGTGGTATGTTTGATTTTTACACTGGCATGCATATAGCCCAAGGGGTGCATTTTTAACAAGAGGACCCATTGTTTCAAGGCATCCATGCTGTAAACAGATTAAAATGCTGGACAGATTAGCCAGACTTTACTAAACATAAGAGAAAAAAATATTTACTGTACTAGTATAAGAAAACATCTCATTTTGAATCTCACAAATCATTCACTGAAGTTCTGAGGCTCGTTTTTGGGATGTTTATTGCTCTGATTGTTGTCTCAATAAAATTAATTAATTAATTACATTAAGCTCTGTCCAGACTCAAATTTTCTTTGACAAAAAACTTTTGTATGCACATATAGTCATGATGTGATGTCATCTTGACCATATATAGGTACAGGTATTGTCCCATGAAAATGACAAATTATGACAATTATATAATCACAAACAATAAAATCTCAAAGCTAAACATGCTTACATTTCTTTTCTTTTTTTTCCATGAATACAAGTTTGTTTAGATTAAATTATTACAAGTCAATAACATAAACAGGCATATGAGAGATTAAGTGTTTGGAAATATTTCATTTTTCTATTTATAACATAATATTTCAACATCAAAGTAATATGGGTAGTCAACATATCCAAGCGCTTTGTATCCATTGGCAAAAAGCGTTATATAAATTTCTATATTTAGATTTTTAGATTTAATACATAAAGAATGTGTTGTTGATCTTTTAAGTTTCTTAAATCATCATTTTTTAGTATAACCCTTTATTCCTCTCAAGACAGCTGACTTCAGATGAAACTTTGCTAAGAAAAGTATACCGATATAATACTAATATTGTTATAGTAAATAACAGAAAGCAAACACCTTAATGATGAAATCTCATGTGCATAAATGTTTATTGCAGATGTTAATTGCTGTTTGATATTGCTGATAACCTGACCTGACCTTCAACAATATGGTTTAAATAGTGAATAGATTAATCTTAGATTTCAAGATTCATCTGCATTATCATACAAATTTATTTTATTTCTTTTTTGGTGTTAAAGGTTAATAACAATTTGTCTAGAAAAAAAAAGACTAAGTTTGTACACATGCAAGATCATAGATTGTTGGTGTTCATTGCAATAATTATAAATTATAAGCTAACTATTTAAAACTGCACTTGTTTATTACGTGAAAATTTACAAACATTTAGAAAAAAATAGTATAAAAATATATAACAACATATAACAACGTGAATAAAAAGGTTATACTGTACAATGAAAGTTATGAATAAAAATGTGCCATAGCAGGAAAATATTAAACTGAATAATAAATGATCATTGAATAAGAGCCATTAATGAATATATCGCTCTCTGAGAAGAGCTGCAATAACATGCTTTTTTTACATTTTTTTTGGCTAAGCTCCTCTATCAAATACGATTGGCGGCGCTAAACAGAGGTACATTTTGAATAAACATTTTTAACAATTAAATGGAGAGTAAAATGGTAACGGTTCTAAATTTTAATGTTGATTTATCAAATTTATTACGTGGCCCATGTCATTCTTACCCATGTTTTTGGGTAAATTGCTTGCGTTAATTGCTTCATCCTTCATATGCAACATAAAGCCATTGGTCTTGTGTGTATAATACACTAGGTAATGCACTATTGTAAGAGACAAAGGCATTGTCTCCCGATGTACTGACTGAAGTAGACAAAGCACTATCGCGTCCATGAGTTCCCAGGAGCCTAATCAGAATTTGTATGTATTATTTTACATTTATATCAATTAGTTATTCTATTTAAAAGAAGGTAAAGGTAGAAGATACTTCAAATGCTACATTAACTCCCAGCGCCATTGTGCTTAAATGTGATGAGACGTGGTTTTTAACTACCTAGCCGCCATAAAGAGAAGCTCAGAGAGGCGCTTCTTGTTCTCATCATTCCAAAATGACAGGCTGAAATAGTATAATAGTATAGAACAATAGTATCTGGGTAACCACCTTCTCCGAATGATGCGATGAGTTCACACGAGCCAGATGTGTGAGGGGCTCAAACCAGTGCCAATGTTAAAGGCTGTATGTAGCAGAGCCAGGTGTGTGAGGGGCTCAAACCAGTGCCAATGTTAAAGGCTGTATGTAGCAGAGCCAGATGTGTGAGGGGCTCAAACCAGTGCCAATGTTAAAGGCTGTATGTAGCATGCCTCCGCTTTACCACTCGACTCATCTATTTTTGTTAAATTAATTGTATGTCTGTATGACAATCAGTACTCTATGATGGGACAATGGTGTGACAAACATAATGGTAATAATAGAATACAACTTAAATATTATAGCTTTGTCATGCACTCTTATGTTTTGCTGGTACATTAGTATCAGTGAAGAGGTGTGTCCTTGTAGCCATCTTTCAAGTTTATTCAATTGCAGTTTTGTTTTCAATTAGTAATAAACAGGGATTGGATTGGATTTATTTGGTGTAAACACCAAGGATAGCCCACAAAAGTCTAGAAGAAGACTTATTTCCAGTGGGGTCCTTCTGGTGGTGATTGGGCAGTATACCGGGAGACAATCCCCTACATATTAATATTTGTAACCAACAGTAGATATTTATTGCACTACTTACCGTATCCTAGAAACCATCTTTATTATAACCACAAATACACCAAGGAAAGCTGTTACATTAATTAATTAATTCATATTTAGTAATTAAACTTATAAGCAAAAATTATGTCTGATTTGTCTGAAAAAGGAAAGATATGGCAAATTTCCCTCTCGGACTTGTGGGGACCACATTGTTAGATTTCAAGCCCCCTCGAATAAACTCCCCCTCTAGAGCCTGATTTAGAATAAACGCCTCACTCGAATAAATGCCCTGTGCATTTTTTCTCCCTCAAATAAATGCCTCCTTTGATAAAATTTTTTTTAATAAAATTGTTTTTTAAATTCAACTTAAATATTTATCAATGGAGGAACAAGAGTGAATATAAAATGGTAGAGTGTTATAAAGCTTAGGGCCAAGATTCTTGAATGCAAAGTCTTTAATAAAATTTTTAAGAATTTTGCCACCTGATCAAAATTTTTTTACTGGATTTATCTTCACTAGAAACTGAAATTCTGTTCTGCAATTTCGACTTGGAACTTGCCATTCAATTAGTACAGACACCTCGAAAGAGATTTACTAAGCTTTAAATTAAAATTTTAATTCTTTGAGGAACTGGCAACCAATGATATTTAATGTAAATATTTACAGAGGGCCTCTTTTTAGTCGGCATTATGCTGTAAGAGACACCCTCTTAAAATATAGACGTAAATAAATAAAAGTTGAGTTCAAATTTACATAATTACTGTAAATATTTACAGTATATTGCCTAATTGATTGGTGAATTGTTGGTAAACCACCTAAGTCATGGTTTCCATCTGTCATCCAGATATATGCATAGATATATCTGGATAAGCCATACATATATCTGGATATATGCATGGATATATCTGGATATAGCCATGTGTATACTGGATATACTGTATGCATGGATAATGATGTCAGAACTTCTTGCATACGCTGTAAAGCGTGATGCAGAAAATTGTTGCAAAACGTTCCTCATGCAGCTTGTTAGAAAACATGTGAAGTAAATCTTGATTATGGAGTCAAATATCAAACATATTCTGATCAATATATAGGTATATCTGAATTAAATGTCAATGAGCAGTATGTAAAGAAACTAAGAATTTGATCAGCTTTAGAAGGATTATTTATATCCCAAGGTCTCATATGAAATTGGAGAAATTGTGAATATTTGGGCAGTGAATTTTCGAGTAATAATATTAATTGAAAATAATAACTGCTTTTTCTATTCTAGCAAGCCAGTATAATAATTCAATATTTAATTGCTTATTTGAAGCAATTTTTAGCTTTCCAACACCCCCTTTCTCGTCCATTAACATAAATATACGTGGCAAGGTGTTATGTAATGTTATTGTAATCTTCATAAATTTCAAGCAAAGTAGATTTAAAACCTTTACCTTGTATTTTTTATCGATTTCATAGCAAAATGTTGTTTTGTTGCCCTTCAAAAAGTATCCATTAAAAAATATAGTGCTTTATTTAAAAAATAATGATGACAAAGTGATAAAAATTTAAAAAACCACTGAATCAACAACAAAAACATCGGCAAGACAGCAAATAATCCAGTAGTGAAAACAAAATACATTGGGAAAAAAAAGAGTTTTGAACCGAGAAAGGCTGCGAAAAGAGCTCTAAATTTTTTAGACGTTCTCCGTACTACTGTGTGAAAAATATGCAGGAAATAATACCCCAATTATTATGGATAATTGATTGCAAATTAGTTTTTTTCATAATTAAACGTTTTCATAATACCTGGCATTTTGATTTTTAGTGTAGCAGTGATCCCCATTGAGTTGACAAATTTATTGATACTCATGTTTATCATTGTTAAATATATTCTGATCTCTCTATTTGAATTGGCTTAATTTATGTGTGGCATAATTTGTAACTAGCAGAGTAGAGCAGTAGCTTGGATTGGATTGGATTTATTGGGTGTAAACACCAAGGATAGCCCACAAAAGTCTAGAAGAAGACTTATTTCCAATGGGGTCCTTCTGGTGGTGATTGGGCAGTACACCGGGAGACAATCCCCATCTCTTTACCAAAGAGTGTACTGCATTCTTTAACGTGTGCACATGGGCCATAAATGCACACGGGACCAACAGCTTAAACGTCTCATCCGAAAGACGGTGCTCTATTGTAACTTGTATTTCAGCCCTCTAGCTGAAACACAAGGAGAGGCAGCAATGGGAATTGAACCGCGGACCTAGAGATCTCCCTGGTTCAGCGTACACACAGTGGCTACCACCAGATTAGCCGACTGAGCTAAGCTGCTCTCAGCTTCCAATTCCATGGTCCTAGGTTCAATTTTGAATGTTTTGTCTTGACTCTAACACAATGGTAGTTTATATAAAGCATCATTCCATCCTTGAGAAATACTAGAGAAAAGAAAGAAATTACAGGCAAATTTAAGTCTAAGAGTGCCATTTCTGGCCATTCGACTGTAGATGTGCCATGGACATAAAATTCTGTGCCTTAGCAATTACAATCATATTAAGGCTGGGATGTCGCTTGTGGGTCCCCTCAATCATGAATTTCTGGATTCTCAATTGTATCATGCGATTATTGAGTGCATAATAAATATGCATTTTGACTTTTGTACACAATGTGTCTACTAAATGATGAAGCCATTTCAAAAACCGAAAGGTCCACTGATTAATCTCAGATAAGAAAGTATAATACATACTCCAAGTATTGAAATACACGCCATTGTGTTGGGATTCAATATTTCGACATTAATTATGTCATCATCAGGAATCCACTT